CTTCACCACCTTCCCCTGTTCCCTTATCTCATTCTCTAGATTCTTCTCCTACTTATCCAACAACCATTTCTACCCGTATTACCCGTTAATTGTTTCATAATGACCCCTTTGCAGTTCTCCCCATTCCTCGACTAGTCGCTCTTTACATTTAACCTCTTCCCCTTTTACAAAGTCCAATCGTACTGCCCTTCTATACCCTTTAATTACCATTCTATCCTACAGCGCTCTACGACCTTTGACACATAACACATTTTATCGCCATAATACTTTACCATAGTGCTATATAACCTTTTGTTGTCTAGCACATTTATCTCTTCTAACAATTGCTGTTAGAAATATGTAGTGTAAGAATGGAATTCAACATGCTCTAAGGATGTTTACAGTTATACGCCAAATAATTGACAGGCTAATATCTAGTCGTCCATTTGCGATGATCGTGCTAAGATGGATCCTTCTAGTGTCTCCCGTTAGTAGTCCAGTATGCATCCCAACTTTTTCTGCAAATTGCAAACGCAGTAAATATTCATATGTGTTTTCATATTGGCCTGCTGTTTTTTTCCAAGGTTAAGTGTGTGTGAAGATAATCCTTTTAAATCTACACAATTTTTTTTTTTTTTTTAGCACGAATCGCGAGGGAAATGTGTAATTTCTGTTCTTAATCTTGAAAAGAAAATACTTCCGGAATCTTTGCATATTTAGCATGGATATTGGATAATATCGATAAAACAATCACGCGCTCATTTTGCCGTTTTAAGTCGACGAGCAGGAGTCTGTACTGGATAAGGCGCATATTTTTTGTACTCTTGAGTGAGTAATGAAGGTTATGTCAACCATGTGGCTGTTTCGTCGCGCGTCGACTCATGATCATCTGGCCGCATAGTAAGGTGAACTGAGTTTGGCAGCCTCGCTCTAAAGGATTCATCTCTGTTTGATGTCCCAGTAATGCTCTCAATAGGGCCAGATGATGATGTTTGTTATCTTCCCTGTGCCTTATCTGTAGGAGCACTTATTGTTTTTTTATTTGTTGAAAAGATAAGAGACTACCTACCATGAAACTTCATGGGAAAATGCTACTTTGCTTTATCAATCAAGAATTGCAAATATGCAAACATGGCATGATGTGTTGTAGATTGACGTTTGACTAACCTGCTCTGGAAGTTAAAAGATTGGCGTAGATTGCAAATGTTTCTAAACTATTAGGTATCTTACCCCGATGTTGAAATACTTATTTCACCTTTGTCTTAACCTACAGATTTCATGATTCGTGTGTTTTATATGATGTAATCGGCCTTTAGTCTTGCAAAAATATCACTTATATTCTTAGTTTTTTCATAAGAGCCAAATAGCATCATTTTCTTTTACGAATAACATTCTCTATCATTTTTGAACATTTGATAAATGAATATTACACGTATCAAATAATTTGATAACTGTATATTACACTAGTTATAATGTCAAGCATATATACAGTGTGAGCATATTGCATCCGGTTCGATGGACTAAAGATATCTGACACAAATGTAAAGGGTACCCTGGCAGTTACTAAAACGATTAAAACGATTCACTGTAACCTTTGGCATGACATATTACAACTCACTCAGCATCAGTTGTACTAGTCCAGTGGGAGATTTGCATTTTTTTTTATAAGGAGTGAGTCATAATTTTTTTCTATTAATCATTATAGTAGATTGCAAGTAGACAGCCACCGAAGAAGAGGATGAGGCATTGCATCTATATATTTATGATAATTTTGATATCTTCCTTTAAACAAAAGATTTGTAGATTGACTGCAAATATATCAACTGGACATGCGTGGCCTTTATGGCAAAACGGAGAGAGCTTTGTTTCAGGAATATAAAGAACATTTTACACACATGAAAGCTGAATATAAAGTCGACAGTTTGGCCCTCTATTCTAACATGCTGAGGTTTGACAGGATATCATTTCATGCTGAGTTTGGATTTAATTTATATAACGCTGTAGAGTGGTGGAACATTCGATTCATTCTCTGAAAAAGAAAGCTTTATCAACAAGTAGGACAGCCTTGCACGATCCCCGTGGCTTTGTTCGGTATAACTCTGATAAATTAAGAGGCAAATGAAAAGCATAAAAGCATTAGACCTCTGAGGGAGACCCTTCACTGCCAGGAACACAAATACACGAAACAACTTTCCTTGATATTTCAAACAATTCACTGGACTAAATGAAAAGTAAATGATTAATCTAACCTGGGAAAAATATGACAGCGTAAGAGCTCTGGATATATGCTGTAATTTGCTTATGAGAGTAAGGGAAATACACTTATCAATATTTTGATGGCATAATGCTTTTAAAATGAGGGTGAGGGGTGCCTTTTCTGCTTGTATTATAGATTATGGAAATCAAGAAGAGGGTTGTTGAGATAGTTCGATATCAAAGGGCAACTTAAGAATAATTAGAATGACACTAAATACATTAATAAACAAAGAAAATACAGTTGGTTATATTTTCTCACAACCAG